TGTTAGAGAAATTGAATGATAATGTTGTTAAGCCAGCCAGGATTACATTTCATTCTGAAATGAAACAATAATAGGAGTATGACAATGTGGCTATAACAGTAATGTAAAATAATATGGAGACTGGAAGGATGCCTAAATGCAGGAAGGCTAGATTTTAGTAGATGTATATCTTTGAAAAAATGAAAAAGAAATAAGATACATAGTGCAAAATTTTAACAGGGGAAGAAAGAGGTCATTACATTTACAGGGCTGTAGCACATATTTAAAATATGAGAGCTTCTGAGCATGAGCCCTGGCATTTGGAGAGCTTAGATGTGGGAAGCCAGGTCACAGAAGTGATAAACCAAAATGCCATTATTCACAAAATATGTGGGAAGAAGGGGCATGTGATTTCCTGGTTGTCTTAAGGCTGAACGTATTAATGGAGACCAGAGAATGGAATGGAAATTTGAGCAGAATTAAATCATAAATCACCTGGAGCTTGTAAGGGCAGGTGATGTTAAAGGCTTTGCGAAACAAGCATAAAAGGATCTATAGGGAGAACAGTGAATGAGAAGGCATTTATGAAGGAGGTGGAAAGAAAGGACCGCTAGGTGGTAAAAAAGAAAAATGCACAAGTGGCAGCTTGTGGCTGTGGGTGCTCTAGAGATGGCAGCTCCATTTCTGAGTGCTCACCTAAGGACAAAGATATATACTGCAGGGATAGCAGCAGCTGAGCATATAGAAATAAAATGACTTACAGAACGAACTGTTTAGGGGAAATTGAATGCTGGTTATCACATTTTTTTCCAGATGTTTTCTGAAATTAAACTATGTTCATTCTCTGCTTTTTTGTTTTTGTTTGATTTTACTCTGATATACTCCTGGAAACCACAAAGTGAAGCAAAGACTTCTAAAGAGAATAGCATTTCTCCCTGAGGATCTGTTATAATTAGTGATTTCAAATAACTCGTGTGTGACAAACAATATGTAGTAGTAACAAAATAATAGGAAACAATAGATAATGAGATTTCATAACCAACTGTTATATGCTGTTATGGATCTAAGTGCTTTGTAAACTCCAGTTATTATTTAGAATAGTAAAATATGTCCCACTAGACGTTATGGTAGAAGAAAGCGGTGATCCACAATCCTCTGTACTTTAGGCTACAGATCACTTAACTTTAAAAAATATGAATAGCAAATTAATTTTTATCTACTTATCTTTATCAATACACATCTCTATCTATCATTCAATTATACATATATATGTACGTATATACATACACGTGTATATATATATACATATATATATTTCAAAGCAAAACAGAAGGAAAAGACATTGAATTAAGGTCTGTTAAGAAGAAAAGGGCTGGTGGAAAAAGCATTAGTTGTTTAAAAGAGCATCAGGCAGTTCTTTTTGAATCAGTTATATAATCTTACAGAGACTCAATTTTCTCATCTGTAAAATTAGGGTGAAAATACCTACTTTCTAATTTGTCCCAGAGCACTAAACACACAACCGTGTAAAGAGCCTAGCAGAGTGTCTCATACATAGTAGTTTCTTGGAAAATCGCAGATGCTGTTCCATCCCTGGACTGGTAGTACCAATTGATGCATTCCTTCTTGCTAAACAACTGATGCATTCCTTCTTGACCTTGGAAACTAAATGTTCTAACTTTATATTTCCATTCACAGAACCATCTTATAAATCACCTGAACCCACAGTTTTAAATTTAAATTGGGGTCTTTGGCAGATGTGTTTCTTCAAACTACCCATCCTTAAAAATTAAGCGAAACTCTTTCAGAGGGAGAGCCCACAAAAAGCCTCCCATTCCCACCCCATTGAAAATCACTCATTTCAAGACACAGAAGATTTGGAACTCGGAGAAGGGCATTAGTGTCCTGTGAACCTGCCATTCATGCCTCTGAGGTGTTAGTCTCCTTGTTGAGTTCACCTAGAAAGCCTTCCCTTCCTTCCATCTCTCCATGTTTTATCTCATCTTCAGATCCCTGATCAAAGACACTTTCACTATGAAGCATCTCATTACCATCTGATATGTATCTTAGAATTGCTACCGTATTTCTACCATACAGTCAATATAACATAGTCCAGCATGTACACACACATACATTGTTTATTTGTGCAGCTGGATCCAATTGAAGTTTGCATAGACTTAATTTTTTTATTGAAGTATGTTTGATTTACAATGTTACATTAGTTTCAGGTGTACGACATAGTGATTCAGTATTTTTACAGATTATACTCCATTTAAAGTTACTGGCTATATTCCTTGTGTTGTACGTTACATTCTTATATCTTATTTATTTTATACCTAATAGTTTGTACCTCCCAATCCCCTTCCTTATCTTGCCCCTTCCTCCACTCCTCTTCCCACTGGTAACCACTGGTCTTTCTCTGATCTGAGTCTGTTTCTGTTTTGCTATATTCAATTCGTTTATTTTTTAGATTCCACATATAAATGAAAACACACAGTATTTGTCTTTGTCTGACTTACGTCACTAAGCATAAGCATAATACCCTCCAGGTCCATCCATGCTGTTGCAGATAGCAAAATTTCATTTTTTTTTTACGGCTGAGTAATATTCCTTTGTGTACGTGTGTTTTTGTGTGTGTGTGTGTGTGTGTGTGTGTGTGTATCACATCTTCTTTATTTCACTGATATGTTACCATCCTGGAATATATCCAGAATACAACTGCATTTCACTTTCTCTACTGCCGTCACCCTGGTCCAACTTCCATCATCAATCACCTGGATTATTATAATATCCTCCCCACCATTCCTCCTGCTTTTACTCTAGCCATGCCTTCAGTTTATTCTCAACAGAACATCCAGAGCGATTTTTCCTAAGGTAAGGCGTATCTTCTCACTCCTCCGCTCTTGGATCTCCTATGACTTTCTACCTTACTCTGAGTAAAAGCTTGTCTTATAAAGCCTAAAATTTTAAAATAAAAATACTATTTTATTTCTGTCCTTTCCTCTGTGTCATTCCTTCTCTGAGACACTGACTAAGTAAACAAGGGAATGAATAGCCTACGTATATAAGGAAATTGAAGAAAAAAACAGTTTTTCAAAGATATTGTTCTACCATACAGTTTACACATGGAGTGCCTGGTATTGTGTCTGTCACTGAGTCATGCTGAATAATAACTTCCTTCCCTTTCCACGGAATACTATTTGCTTAAAGTCAATATTATACCAATTCACAAAAAATGGACGGGAGAAAATTTGCCACACTTTAAATGTCTGTTTAGCTACCTCCTGTCCTTTTGTCATGTTTTACCTCTACAGTCATTATAAAGTCCACAAGATAATTTATAATTTTTGCTTAAGCCACTCATATGTGCTTTAAGGAAATGCAAATCAAATATTATTTTTATTTACTCAAATATTTACCATTTCTGATACTTTTCAATCTTTCCTGAGCATCCAGTTTTCTGTCTGGAATCATTTCTCAGCATCTTGAAGAATTTCCTTTAGCATATCTTATAGTAAGGGTCTGCTGGTGGCAAATTTTCCTAGTCCTCTTTTATCTAAAAATGTCTTTATTTTGCCTTCATTCTTAAAGTATATTTCTGATGTCTTAGAAGTCTGGATTGATGGTATTTTTCTTTTAGTACATTAAAGATTTTTTTCTTCTATAGTCTGGTCTCCACAGTTTCTGATGATAAGTCAATAAAAATTCTAATTGTTGTTCCCTTGTGTGTAATGTGTTGTTCATCCCTGGAAGCTTTCAATATTTTCATTTTATCTTTGGTTTTAGCAGTTTGACTGTGATGTGGCTAGTCATAGTTTTCTTTTTTATACTTTTAAATTTCTTGAATCTATAAATGTATGTCTCTCACTAAATTGGGGGAATTTTAGCCATTATTTTTTCAAATATTTTACTGTCCCATTCTCTGTCTTCTTTTTCTGGGGCTCACATTACATGTATCCTAGACTTTGATCTTTTCCCACAGGTACATGAGACTCTATTAACTTTTTTTTTTCACTTTTTCTTCTTTGATATTCAGATTGGACAATCTTTATTGATCTACCTTCAGGTTCACTGACTCTTCCCTCTGTCATCTCTATTCTACTCTTAATATCATCCAATGAATTACTTATTTTATGTATTTTATTTTATCAGTTTTATCCATTTAATTTTTTTTTTTTACATTTTTCTGCTGAGATTTTCTACACTTCCTTTTGTTATGAGTACATTAAGCAAGTGTCACATTAAGCATACTTATAATAGCTGAGCTAAAATCCATTCCCACTAATTCTAATATCTTAGTCATCTCTAGGTGCTCTCTTTTGGTCAGGGCTGGAACTAGAGTGAGACAAGTAAGCTTACTAGAACACAAAATTTAAGGAGTCCCTTACTTTTAGATGCTGACTTTGCACCTCCAGGACCCTGAGAATGAGTGCTTCCCTAATTTTGTATTCTAGATGCTTTGCTTGACTAACCCTAATCCAGGGCCCTGCTATTATGAGTCTCATTTTCTTATTTCTTCATAAGTTAAGTAATTTTGGCCTATACAATGTTATGGGTATTTTGAATGTTATATCATGGAGACTCTAGGTTCTGTTATATTCCTCCAAAGTGTGTTGCTTTTTAAAAAAATTTTTTTTAATTTAAGCAGGCAATTACCTTGTATGCCTGTTATGCCTAACTCACTATAAAGTTGGTCTTTTTGGTATCAGTTCAACTCCCAGGTCAGTTCTCTTACCTTTACCTGGGTTGCTCTGAGTTTGTCTTGCTCATATATGGTTCAGGGTTCAGCAAGAAATTTTGGCAGAATATTTACACAAACTTTGGGTTCATTCTCTGACTTTCTCCTTTCTTGGATCTTCACTCACTTTATACTTTTGGTTGTCCCAAACTCTGTCTTTTGGCTCCTTTAGGCCACAAAGAATATAAGCTTTTGGCCAGGTGCCAGTCATTGACTGTCCTCAAGTTAAAGTTAGAAAGATGGAAAACTCACCCTGTGAAGTTCCCTTCTTCCATGTGTTGACTTTTCTCCAAACTCTGAATATTCACCTCCCAGTGTCCTCAAATGTTTTCCCTCCAGTGTTTACAGTTATCTGCAGGAAGGAATCAGAGCTTAATTATTAATACTGGAAGCAGAAATCCTGCACCTATTTCCAAAAGGGCCATTTTCTATAAATGGATGAAGGGAACTTATAGGAGATATTAAAAAATTAGGATCTGTTTTTTTCCTCGTTGCTTTAGGATTCTTAAAATTTCAGCACTTGAGGTATGCTGTAACTTGGCAAGGAGAGGATAAGTAGAACAGGGATGTAATTGGGGTTGGGGAAGGTCTTTAATCCTATAGAACAATTCCCTATAGAATTGTCAGGTATCTAGATCGTTGTATCCAAACATGAGTTGCAATCTTTGTTCAGGCTTGGCTGATTTCAGTGTCACAGTAGAGATTGTCCAAGGCTGTAAGGTGGTAAGAGGTATCTTAGGAAAAAAAGCAGTGGTTATAGTCAGCTATATGCTGATGGTTTGAATTTGGAAGATACCTGAGTTATAATAGAATTCTAGCTAGCGGAGATTGGGATGTAAAATTGTGGAACTGATAGGAGTGAAATACGTCACTGTCTCAGCCAAGTGGACTGGGGTTTAGGTAGGCCTCTAGGCTTTTTGTTTGTTTGTTTTGCTTTGCTTTAAAGGAGAAACTGGAGGACAACCAAATTTATGAAGGCAAAACTATTGTAAAGAAGGAGGAAACAAAACCTATTGGTGTGCAATAGGATGCTGGGATACTTACAGTATATTGGGTAACTTACATATGGTAGCTTATTTTAATCTTTTGATTAAAGTTGTTCAGAGTGTTACCCTAAGCATACCATGCTCGGGGCAGGAAAATAGGCTTTTAAAAAATAATTAATTAATTAATTTTATTTTTGGCTGTGTTGGGTCTTCATTGCTGCACGTGGGTTTTCTCTAGTTGTAGAGAGCGGGTGTTACTCTTCGTTGCGGTGCAAGTGCTTCTCATTGCGGTGGCTTCTCTTGTTGTGGGTCATGGGCTCTAGGCGCGTGGGCTTCAGTAGTTGTGGCACGCAGGCTCAGTAGTTGTGGTTTGTGGGCTCTAGAGCGCAGGCTCAGTAGTTGTGGTGCACGGGCTTAGTTGCTCCGTGGCATGTGGGATCTTCCCAGACCAGGGCTCGAACCCGTGTCCCCTGCATTGGCAGGTGGATTTTAACCACTGTGCCACCAGGGAAGTCCCCAGGAAAATAAATTTTAAACCTAGTCAAGGAAATACTGTTGGACCTATTCAGGCAGTTTCATTTTAGGCCTTGGATGGACCTGAATCTATAGGTTGTTGGCCTTAAATATCATAGCTGGGTGGAGCCAGATGGCAGGTTGGGCATTTCCTAAGTTCAGTGTTTCTCAGCTGTGACAGATTCACTCTGTGTGCAGCATCTACCTGGGCCTGCCTCTTCACCCTGCTGTGGCTTTGGTGGGAGCAAAGGGAACCACACAAACAGGAAGCTCATGCTGCCTGCTGTGCCGGAAGTAATGAACTGTCTAAATCCATTTGGACTAGTTATCTCCTTCCCAGCAAAATCTATGAAAGTGTGGCAAGCCAGCCTAGGGACTGCTTAACTGCATGCCAGTCCAGAGGAAAAAGTGAAAAATATCCCTAATTGTGCCCCTTTCTGTCTCCCCAAGTTTCTTAGTATAATAAGAGTTCTTTTCTAGATCTTGGAAAATTGAAGTATGTAAATGTTCCAGGAAGGGTTCTTTAGGAAAATATAGAGGAAATATTAACTCTCTCAGTTATCTATATTTGGACAACGTGGTTAATTCATTTAGACATAAATTTGGCAAACTAATAAGTGAATGTTTTCCTGTTCTTGGTCATCCTTCCCTTCCTCCCCAACCTGCCACATTACCAAACAAAATTGTTTTCTGTTATTTTAAAAATATCCTTAAAGTAGATATAGATTTTCAGGAGCTGAGCTTCACATATTTAGAAAAGAAAATATTTTGTCTTACATTTGACAAATTTTCTAATTGCATATGCTCGCAATTTCCCATGTCATGCCACATTTTATTAGGTGAAGTAACACGGGGACAGAGACTGGTATATATGACACATCTCTGAAGAAGAATACCTGAGAAATTGAAAAAAATTCTACTGTCTTCAAAAATTATGATCCTGGTAGAAATAACTCATTTTATGCTGAGGGATTTTAAATGGTCATATATATCTTCGAAGCATTAGGAAAGATATGGAGCACAACTCACAGACTTTTCTAACAGAGTTTTAATAGGGATAGAAAATAGTTCCAAATTAGTGCCTTTGTTAAATACTTTAATGGGGATGAAATATAATATAAAAGTTACTATGTGGACAGAAATAATAAAATTATTATTCAAACTCAAAAGTTCACTAAAAGTAAATCATAGTATTTCAATTCTCTTGAGTACAAGAGAACTATGATTGCATGCTTCCTTGTGGATAATGTGCCAGTTTTCAACAGAAAAAAATGTACTAAAATTTAAAAATGAGGCATAGAACATGAGGTAAATACAGGAAATTAATACCTGAATATAATTATATGCACATTGGATGAGAAGAAAGTAGACTACTTAGAGATTCATTATAAAATAATATGTGTTAAAAATAGAAAGAAGGAAAATCATTACTCATGGTGAGTAACTGCCAAAGTAAAATGAATATAAATTAAGAGTAACTGTCAAAGTTACTTGTTAACAGCTTGTAGAGCTCTCCCTGTACTATTTGATAGGTAAGTGATATAATCCTACTCATAGCAGTAAATAAAAGCAGTACCAAATTCCTTTAGGGAAGAAAGCAAACAATTATTTACAAATTTGAGGAAAAAATCCAGGGTTAATGGTAATTTTGGGTTAATGGTAATTTTGGTAATTTTGCTTCGTTCTCTGAGATTAATATACTGGGGCCTTCAAGGGGTAGCCTGGTGGCGGGAAGACCAAGGTGGTGACACAACGAAGTCTGTATTGGATGCATGTCTCACAGCTATCGTTATTCCATATCACCTTAGGATTTCAGGCTTTGGGTCCCTCTTGCTGAAATCAAACAATGCTTACACTTGGAAATCTTAGCTGGCCTCTTTTAATTTGAACTCAAGTAAGCATCCAGCTTGCTGTATGACTTTTTAGACACCTGGAAATATTCAGTAGCTTTATTACTTACTTCTCAAGAGAAAAACGCTTTGTATTAAAAATGAGAAAATATCCCCTTCTACTGCCAGTGTATTCATTTTGTAAACACACAAGTTCCCTTTGATTTCTGAGTGAGTCTTCCATTATTTAAATTTGACACATGAAGATCTTTAGCGCCCTTGTTAGCCCCACTCTTACAAGCCATGACTTCTCTGAGGGTTGATAGAAGTGGACTCAGAATTGCCCAATCTAGATTTTTCCATAGAAAAGAGACTTTCTTTCCTTACAATGTTATGGCACTACAGAAATAAGTATCTACGTATATAACAGTAAAAACCCTGTGGCTACATTCCCGTAAGTATTGACCATCTTGTTATAACAGGAGCTCTGCCAATTTAGAGCAAATAAATTAGAGTCACCCAACTCTCTTCCCACCAGTTCTCCTTAGTGACATAATTGCAGGAAACTTTATCTCTTTTAAAAAAGATAAAGCAGACATCTCGCTATCAAGAACATTGTATTTCTCTATTTAAAATATATAGCCAATTTATCATCAAAATTAGATCTGATTCATGCCATCCTATATCCAACAAGAACTAATTATAGTAAGGGTTATTAGTAAGGAAATGATGGGGCACAGGGGAGGGAGAAAGAGCTAGGAAAGTATTTTTTCTAATCAAATTTCAGTTCCCTGTGACCTACAGATATAACTCTGCACTTAAGTCTTTGATTACGATGAGTTTTGAGATTTTATTTCTGACAGAATGTAAAATATGGATCTTTGAAAAGAAGTCTTCCTGACTTAAAAAAAGTCTGGTAGGTTATAATACTCCTGTGATTTTTTTCTAATAATGTTTTTAATATGTGAAGTGCAGTTAGTAGAACACATTTAATTTTACTCAGTAAAGGTTTTACCACCTTCTGTTAACATATTGGCTCTTACTTCCCTGGATAATAATTTTCGTTTGATGAACATCTATGTTTAGTTGGAGCTCTGTGGACTTAAAAAGTCAATAACCTTAGTCAGGAAAATTATATCCCTAGGTAGAAAATTCACGCATTTTGGATACTTACTTGTTTTTACATGATTTGTCTAATTTTTTTTGCGACCACAGCTCTGAAGTAGGTATTGTTTTCATACCTAACAGTGAACAAAACCCAGACTCAAGAGATAAAGTGACTTTACCAAGCTAAGCGATGGAGACTTGATTCAAGGTCACATATTCTGATTTTAAGTCCAGTGCTCTTTCCATGATTTCATAATGTCCCACAATAATTGGAGGTTTGTGGTTGTTTCAAGCCATGCACTTTTAGAAGAAAGGTGGTTAAATTCTCCAGGGAGAAGCTGCTATCAATTGTTTTTGAGAGGCTAAAACCATACGGGAATCTTTTCCTCCACAACTTAATGAATGTTTTATAGACGAAAACTTTTCCAGGTTGTGGAGTGTGAGTCAAGGCAAATAGGGACAAATGACACTCCTGAGAGCAAGAGGCAGGAGAATGTGGTAAAATATGACAAGGTAAAATGCCAGACCTTCAGATGACCCTGGAGAGTGTCACTGTCTGGGAAGGTGAGAAGTTGAGTCATTGTGGCCAAATGTACAAAGTAAGCATCTTTTGCTAAATCACGAGGGTCACCCTGACATAACTAACTGACATAATGCTACCAATCTTGAGAGATAAATAATAAGCAGAAATGATAGATTTTCACCTAATTTCCCCCAACGCTGCATTAGAACTGGTTATAGAAATCTCAGTGAATTCAGGGGGAATGTGGTTCTCTGCCACATGAACTTTGTGACATCATCCCACAATATACCACAGTAATTAAAAAAAATAAATGATTGTAGGTACACCTACATGTCTCTGAGCTTATCCCTGAACCCTCTCTGCAGACATAGGTTTGCGGCTCTAATGGATTTGTCAATTCCCTGCTGGAAAGAAGCTGAAAAGCTAGTGAAAAACTGTATCATTTTCAATCTTTTAAATGGCTTTTAGGTCTATGCTAATAAATTTTGAAACCGTAGTTCATAATTTTTTGTTCAAACACATAATTCTTCTTATTTTGTTTACAGTCTCAAGAGTCTTAGCATAAAATGCTATTTTCATCATTCTAGACCCTTTAGAAAAATTACCTGCCAGTTTGAATTAAAGGTAGCTTTTTAAAAAATATTGTAAGAAAAACCTTGTTGTTTGGAAGTACTAAACAAGCCATCAACTTTTTGTTCAGATACTTTTAAAATGTACATGGGAGGATAAAAAAACCAATAGAGTTATATTTAAACTATTTTGTACTCTAATACTATGTTAACATGTGAATAATTTTATTTGTTATAAGTTATGGTATAGAGATCATGGAAAACATTCAGGAAGGTAGCACGGTACAATGAAAAGTATGCCGCACTAGATTCAGGTCATTCTAGGTTCATTTCTGTTTCTTAGTTTCACAAACTTAACTGAGTCATTCAATCTCTTAGTTTCACATTTCTTGTCTGTGAGTGGGTATAATAATATTTGCCTCCCACACCTTATCATTTACAATGGTGTGTTAGTTTCTGCTTTATAACAAAGTGAATCAGATATAAATATATATAGATCCCCATATCTCCTCCCTCTTGTGTCTCCCTCCTTCCCACCCTCCCTATCCCACCCCTCTAGGTGGTCACAAAGCACCAAGCTGATCTCCCTGTGCTATGCGGCTGCTTCCCACTAGCTATCTATTTTACATTTGGTAGTATATATAAGTTCATGCCACTCTCTCACTTCGTCCCAGCTTACCCTTTCCCCTCCCTGTGTCCTCAAGTCCATTCTCTACGTCTGTGTCTTTATTCCTGTCCTGCCCCTAGGTTCTTCAGAACCTTTTTTTTTTAGATTCCATATGTATGTGTTAGCATACAGTATTTGTTTTTCTCTTTCTGACTTACTTCACTCTGTATGACAGACTCTAGGTCCATCTATCTCACTACAAATAAGTAAATTTTGTTCCTTTTTATGGCTGAGTAATATTCCATTGTATATATGTGCCACATCTTCTTTATCCATTCATCTGTTGATGGACACTTAGGTTGCTTCCATGTCCTGGCTATTGTAAATAATGCTGCAATGAATATCGGGGTACATGACTATTTTTGAATTATGGTTTTCTCAGGGTATATGCCCAGTAGTGGGATTGCTAGGTCATATGGTAGTTCTATTTTTAGTTTAAGGAACCTCCATACTGTTCTCCATAGTGGCTGTATCAATTTACATTCCCACCAACAGTACAAGAGGGTTCCCTTTTCTCCACACCCTCTCCCCTGGTATCACTTGTAAGATTGATGAACATGATTCTCTAGAAATAAGAACAAAATCTCTTATCTTACACAGTTTCTGGGTGTCAGGGATCTGGGAGAGAGAGGCTTAGCTGGAGTGGTCTGGCTCAGGGTCTTTCATAAAGTTGCAGGCAAAATGTTGTCCAGGGCATCAGTCATCTTAAGCCTTGCCTGCAAATGGAGAATCAATTTCTGAGAAGGTTTACTCTTACATCTTTTATTGATGGCCTCAATTCTTCATGGATATTGACAGAAGGACATAGTTTCTGCCACATGGACCTCTTCTAACAGTATCATAGCTGGCTTCTCCAAAAGGAAGTGGGGGAGGTGTGTGTGGTGAGAGAAAACAGAAGGTTCATGATCTTAACTAAACACAGTAAATGAGCTTGGTTTTATTCCAATAATCTTTCATTTAAAAAAATCATCCAGCTGTATTTGTCCTATGGGGCATAGTTTGTGACCTCTTCTCTGCATGCATTTCAGTTCTCTGACTTGCTGGTCTAGAACTCTCTCAAAGAAGGAATTAAAGTCGATTGTATACAATTTGTTCTAAGTGATCACAAGTTGGTGGCTGACCTTGGGTTCTTTTCCTAAACATTTATACACCCTGCTTCCAATAATGTAGTCTAGCGCTTTGCACACCTTTGTACTGAGCTCATTGGTTTACAGAATCTGTCTTTGCCTCTGTTTGGTCAGTTGAAAAGTTTTTGTTCAGATTTCCTTTTGGACATCTATACTGTTCTCAAGAATTGATGTCAGTAATATTGCATTTTATTGGTGAATTATTTTAGTACCCTGAAATACGGTGTACCTGGGAATTTGAAGTCATTTAGAAAAGCTAGATTCTCTCATAACCTCTTTTCTCATCATGGACCTCAGTTCCCTTTTTTCCTTATTTTATGCTTCTCTCTTTCAAGTTTATATTCAAAGATGTGTTGGGTAAACTCTGTGCTCTGTTTATCATCCATGAGTATTCCACTGTTCTCAAAGGCATAACCAGGACTCAGGCCACACATCCCCCACCAGTTACTGGTCCTTTCCTTTCCTCTCATCAATAGGCTAGTTTCTTTTAAGAGCACTTTTTACACACTGGCTCCACTTTCCCACCTCCCTTTATTTTGACTTTTGTGCCAATCAACTAGACCAGCACTCCATTAACTAAAACTGCTCCCATTGACAAAGTTGAATGTATTTTTGAAAAATATTTCTTTGGAGGGTAGCCTGTCCAAAATCTCACAATTCTAGGTCCAGATCTGTCCTCAATAAACACGTCACTCAAACCATGATCTTGTCATTGTTTCTCTCTTTCTGTTATTGTGAACAAAGGAATGTCACCCTCCCATATTTACAGGCCCAATACATTTAGGGGATAAATGAAAAGTGGTAACTCAGTAATAGTTCCACAGATGGAAACAAATCTTTCCACCTGAGATGCAGGAAGAATTCAATATAAATATATTTAAATTAACTATATCTAGTACTTGCCTTCCTGCTTTCAATTCTGGTATTATTCTAGTAGTATCTATTCTAAAATGAGCTGGCAGCATAATTAGATCAAGAAGAAGGGGATGGGAGTTGAGTATTAAAAAAAAATCCAATATTTTTTTAATATTTAGGAGTTTGAAATATATGTGACTATTGTATTGTTTTATTTGAACATTAAATTTAAAAAAGTATATGAAAATTTAAAATACAGCCACTTTTGTTTGTTAAAATAATAAATGCTAGTCCACTTCAAAAAATTCGGAGAAAGAGGTTCTGACCAAAAGCATTTTGGAATGCTTTTTCACAAACAGCTGCTCTGAGTATTCTAATTAGCTAAAGAAGCTATTTATTCTGCTGTGATGATATTTCAAATCTTGCAAGCACCTTGCAATAAAAACCTTGCAAGCACCTCACAATGCTAATGTTAAAACTGCTACACATCTAACTGTACTTTGAAATTTTATTTATTAGAATATTAGAAATACTTAAGAGCAAAGTATCTATTTAAGTTATGTTTTTGTTGCTGTAGTTTATTTATTTTAGATGCAAATACATAATTCATTTTTAAAATGTAGAGTTACTGTCATTCTTTTCTGCTGCTGTGAAAATCCTGTTTTATAATGATATCACCTTGATTTGAAAATTGAGATGTGATATGAAAAATTGTGGCACATTTTTTAAAAAGATAATGGATAGTTAATATAATCTTGAAATTTGCTTTTGAAATGTGACTCCTGGAAACTTAGAGAAAAATGACTGATTATTATAAAGTTAGCTGGAAAACCCCCAAGGCATGTTATCATTTGATATAATTTACTTAAGCTTATGAGGACCTGTTTTGGGGAGGGGTCCCACAAGGATTCCTGTGAGGGCTATTACATCTATCAGGATGGCAGACATGAGGGGATGAAGATGGATGTATCTAAATGTTCAAATAATGATATTGGAATATTGTGTGCAATAACGAATCAATAGATTTTCTGCTGAACAAATTGGTAGGCTATTAAAAAGCAAATTTTCAGCAAACTGAGAATAGAAAATGATTATGAAAAACTTTTCAATGCCAAAACCAAATTTTAATTCTGTAAACAGAGATCTACATGTCTAATGGGTGGAGCCTGTCTACTTCAAAGAAAATAGAATGAGTGTAGTATAATTTTCCTGAGGACTTGAGATAAGCAGGCTATTTGGATGGAAGGCTATTCATTGTGGTTCTCCCCATAAGTCTCTCTATGCTCAATGGGCAGAGAAAATCTGGGTGATAAGATAAAAGAGGGCAGAAAGAGAAAGATGAAAAAAACAAAATGATCTCCAATGAAGATAATATCAAAACACACTGTAATGGAGAACAGATGAGAGGACTGTTATCTATGAAGCATAACTTGGTTCCAACCACCTTCTATTAAAATTTTGGCTGACATTATTTTTGAAGAGCCAGGCTCACGTAGAAATAATCTGTAGGTCAATTAGCCAAAAGCGAATTCACTAAATGACCTTGCTTCTTTCAGCTGTATTAGCTTTAGTTAAATAGTTTTCATTTTGTCTTTGTAAGTAATGATCAGTTTGTTTCTTCTCTAATTTGCTAAATAATGATCCTTCCTTTCTACTGGAGCTGAGACCAAGGGCCAGAGAGAGGGAAAGACTTGTAAGCATATGGACATGTTTTGATTATAAAGAATTCTTATCAATATATTCTTCGTAAATATATTCTTTTTCTTTATGGATATATTCTTCATTTATATAGTCATTTAAATTTGTATTTATAAGTAGAATTTATATTTAGGAGTAGATTGTTATGAAAATATTTTTCTTAGGAATAGGAATATATAACTAGTTTTCAAATATTTTAGAATATCAGGAGTTTTATATGTTTAATTTTATTAAATTCAACCTCTTTCTCTCTCTCCCTATCTCTCTCTTTTTCCCATACATCAGTTTCTCCTTTTTCTTCCCCTCAATTGCTAGCTCCTTAGAATGGTGTCATGAAGGTGAAATAAGAACCAGCAAACATAGTTAGAATAAATAAGTAAATTAGGTGAATTAGCACATTGCTTGACTTCTGTGGGGATGCAAACTTGTTGAAAGAAGGTTAATTTCTATCATTTCCTAAAGAAGATATAAGGATGATAGGAACTTTGCATATAATAAGAGCAGAATAAATTAAATCATCTAACTTTTAGTACAAGTGCTTGGAATGTGCATTTTATAGCTGTGTTGGGTCATTCCTATGTTGGCTACATCACTGTCAAGATTTATGATTTTTTAAACTTTGCAACAGGTTTTTATTTTTGCTTTGTATCTATATGGTGTTTGAAACCTAAAGAAGTACATTTTCTCTTCAAATTTGCATATGTATGTAAATATCATTTGTCCGGACTCAGCACACTCAATGCTATGGTTTCTTGGCTTATGTTTCCTCTGAAATCGTCAAGCTTTGTCTGTCTATCCAAGGGCCCTGAGAACATGGAAAATAGTCAGAGTTTATAGTTCTTGGAAAACTAGAAGCAAATAAATTTGGAAAGAAAAATTTAATGCTGCCTCTTCTAACTTTCACACCCAGTTTTGGCTCTGCTTATAACTCAGGCCTGATGCAAAATGCCCTCTCAGAGGAAAACTAACAGCCTTAATTCACAGACTTGATTGGTATTGACCTCAAATTCTTCCCTTTCCATGGTCTTAATCTGGGGGTGGACCTAGAGGACAGATGATGGAATGACTGAATCATTTACGAAGGCCTTGGTGTTATCAAGATTTATGATTTTGATGCAAGATTGATTTAGAGTCTATATTACTATTATGCAAGATTTGTAATTCTGCAATGGATTTGCCACTTCACCCTGCATCGAATGTGCAGAAAAAAAGAATCTAAAAAAAAATATATATATATATATTCATATATATATATGAATAGATATCTGTATAACTGAATCACTTTGCTGTACAATTGAAACCAACACATTATAAATTGACCATACTTCAAAAAATATCTTATGTATTATGCTCTTCTAGAATATGTGTATATGTGTGGTTTTCTCTGAGTATGAAGGAATGCAGTAAGTTAAAAGAGAAAAATGGGTAAAAAATTATATCATGATATTCATATTTGATATATTGCCATTAATAGATATTCAGATGATGCTATTAAATAAGCGAATGCTAAATTTAAGGAAGGAAGGAATTTTCTTTTAGTTTAGTTATTTTCTCTGAGAGATTTAAATAAACCTACAGTAAATGCACACACACACACACAAATGTGTTCCCCAATATTTGTAATAAAATGACCTAATCAGAGCTTCACACCCATCACATGATTCGCTGTGCACCACTGTGTATAAATGGATCATTTACAGCCTTTTCTGGTGAACTCAATGTGCTGTAGGAACAGGATTGTTTTCTATGCATGCCATGATGTGAGGAAGTTGGAAAGTACTAGGTAGATAACGCTAGTATTCATAATTTTTTCCTCTTTTTTCTACTTCAGGCTTCAGGAATTGTGTGACTGCCTCTTTTACCCTGATGGCCTCAGGAAAAAAATTAAAAAGACCAAAAGTCAGTGAATTACTTCTTTCCTTTGCCTTCTTAAATAGCTCACTGAAAAGGAGTGCTTAGCAACACTTAACTTCAGTCAACTTCACAGGGAAAGTAAGCGACTGAACACCATCAGGGAACTATCTGTCTGCTTCCATGCCATCTAATTAGATGTAGTGAGTGGACAATCTGAACAACAGGCACAAACACCGTTATTGTGAGAGACTCATTTGGTTACTGAAGAAGGGAGTTAAAGAATGACTGTCATGATGACTAACCTAGAAGTGAAATAGTCTTAGAAAGATGAGTGATAGCCTTCTGCTTTTCTGATTTCTAAGTCTCTATTACATAGGAGTTCATCTTAAAGTCAGGAGGCAAGAGTTGAAATAACAGGGATCATTTCACTAGAAAAAGGGATGTCTCAAAACTTAAGATATTACTAGAGCCTTACTAACATGGATAATTGAAAGAACACTGGTCTGAACAACTGGAAAAACTGAATTGTGAAATCTATTTAAATAAAGGAAGGTTAGTTCATTTCAGATTCACACAATTATTCAAATAAGCTTAACAAAATATGTCCTTATTAAATTTTCTTATTTATTATCAGATGGACATGATATGTGATCAAGGTATTAGTTTCCTAGGTCTCCAGAAACAAAGTACTACAAACTGTTGCTTAAAGCAACAGAAATTTATTCTCTTGTGTTTCTAGGGGCTAGAAGTCTGAAATCAAGGTATTGGCAGTGTGGGTTCCTTCCAGTGGCTCTGACAGAGAATCTGTTCCATGTTTCTCTCTTAGGTTCTGGTAGTTGCTGGCAATCCTTGGCATTCCTTGTCTTGCAGATGTATCACCTCAATCTCTGCTTTTGTCTTCATACGGTGTTTTCTCTCTTTGTGTCCCTCTGTGTCATAATTTCCATCTTTTCTCATCTTATAAGGATACCAGTCATTGGATTGGGGCCCATACTCATCTAGTATGTTCGTATCTTAACTAATTACATGCACATTGACACTATTTCCAGGTAAGGTCACTTTCTGACGATCCAGGTGGACGTGAATCTTGCAGGTACACTATCAACTCAGTATAATCAGTACATTAAGCCATAAGCTTCACTAACCCATGCTAGTGAGTTGTTTGCATATGCAAAGACACCTGCATGTTTTAAATTGTTTCTTAAGAAATGAAATTTGCTATATCTATATATTTTATAACTAATTTCTTAGTGACTATTATTAATATGACAAATATAAACTTTAGCACATTCCCTCTTTTAATTACCACACATTTCAAATTTATTAAATTAGAACAAATGATTTTATGGTTATAATTACACTTACGATTCATTAGGGTAGCCACCATCTACCTAATGACCCCATCTTTTTTTGGAGGATAATAATCTGGCAAAAAGAAAGTGGAATGCAATGAAAGTATAATAATATCCAAAGCGATCCTCTTAAACAGCTTATGAACATGATTTATTGTTCATACCAATATATGTTGCTATAATAAAGTTTTCTACCAAGATGCTTTATTACTTCCCTGTGGATATTTGCAATAGTCATGGCTGCTGGAGAAATAAACCATAAGCTATGGCTTAAAGATATCACATTGGGTTTTTCTGATATTTCCCTGTCCTCTAGTATCCTCAGGCTGTCTCTATTTTAAAAGCAAAAAAAATTGACATCCATACTGCTTACTTGGGGAAGTCCACTGGTGCCCTACCCAATATCTTTGATGATTCCTAGGTCACGGGGAGTAGAGATTACCTTTCATCTATGTCAGTGTCAGTCCTTTTCTCTGAAGCTGTTGCTGAGCACTTGCCACTGCTGTCCTTTTTCCCTGACTGGCTTCATCTCATGCTGGACATCATCCCTCTTCCTTCACATTTCCACTGGGTTATCCCATGATTGTCACACCTGGCAGTCCTTTATTGACATTTTAATCATTGCAGAGAGCCTAGGATAAAACAACAATCACTTTTCACTGTTCCTAGAAACTTCCTGCCCTTATTTATTAACAAGTGGTCTTTCTCACTTGCCATGTCACTTTGGACATGCCCCTCTCCTACCACCATATTACTGGGCCTTGTTTTGTTTTCCCACTGTCGCCTTTCTCTTGGGCTATTCTGAAAAACTTCACATTTTTCTTTTAGTTATGCAGACTATTTTAGGTTTTATATATACTTTTTGTCTTAGCTTCTCTTCCCAAATCATACCTTGGGCAATAGTGGAGGTATAAATATGGCAGCTACCTTTCATGCTCAAAGAGGTACACCAAGGTATTTTTCTCGACAAAGAAGACAAGAGAAAACACCTCCTCATATTAGTATTGACATTTCTCTTAGAACCAAAGCCTCTGCCATTAGTGAACCTTAAATTTATTCTTAGACTCTGCTCAAACAACAATGCCTATTTGGCAACCTCAGAAAAGTTAAGGTCTCTCCAGAGCATTGAACCCAAGGGAGTGTTCTGAGGTGTCTCTCTATACTTCATGATCTGCGTGATTGAAGGGAGTTTATATCATAGACAACAGGAATAAAATGGATCTCTGATAGTAGCACAAGGATATCGGGAGGTAGAGGTGAGCTACTTCCAGTACCATGTGACTTACAGAGAGATGCTTTTGAATTTTATGACGTCCATTACTTGGGAGCAGCTCTCTTTAATTATGTGGCTTCCATAACTGTTTTCCTGTCCTTTTACTTGAGGAATAATTTATGCAGAATTTGTCTGCAGTAAAAAACGTATGATAAAAATATAAATAAGAATTTGTTTCTCATCATAAGTGTGAGGTGTCATTGTTCATATTTTACAATTAAATAAACAAGAATGCAGAGTAATGAAATTACTCTCCACTCATATTTCATGATTGGCACAGATGACAAATAAGGCCAATGAACCCTGGTTTCTGATTCACTTTTTTGATCTCTTGGGTAAAGTTCATTCTCTCAAGTATGCAAAAAACTTAAGCTGGGCTTCCCTGGTGGCACAGTGGTTGAGAGTCCGCCTGTCGATGCAGGGGACATGGGTTCGTGCCCCGGTCCAGGAAGATCCCACATGCCGTGGAGCGGCTGGGCCTATGAGCCATGGCCGCTGAGCCTGCGCGTCTGGAGCCTGTGCTCCGCAACGGGAGAGGCCACAACAGTGAGAGACCCGCGTACCGCCAAAAAAAAGCAAAAACACTTAAGCTATTTTTTTTTTTATCACAGCAAAGAAACTTATGTAGTAAGGGGAGAATATTTGTAGCCAACTCATTCAGCTTAAGTGGCTAAGGATAAGCTATCTTCTAACTTCACAAATAGGCACGTGATCTGGGTCAGTTGATGAGTGACATTTCTCTGTATTTATATATCCTCTGTTGTCTGAAGTCTTGAAAACTGTACATTGTTAACTAACTTACTACTCTGGTTTTTGAAGTGTTTAGGCTATCATTTCCTATCAGCCAAATAGTCAGGAATATGTACATAAATTAGTTTAGATTGAAGGAACTGGTCATGGATTGAGATTAATGATATTACTTAGTTTTGCATCATCTTGCCAAAACCATGGGGAGTAACACAGTTAAACACAGCAAGAGAATAAGCTGTGACTGAAACGAATAATAAGTATGAGCGGTCTATCACCAAATAAAACTGTCTATAGTAATTATGGCCTCGAGTCTTCTTGCACCATAAACTATTGAAAAGTGTGTTCTCTCAGCTTCAATGGAGGGAGAGACATAGTCTCTTCATAGTTATAATGCGAGGGCTCTTAAATAAGATAACATATGTATAGCACCTAGAACGGTTTCTGGCATTTAGGAGGAGCAAAATAAACTTGAATTTTCTCTTACCATTGCTCATGAGGTTTTTAAACAGGTAATAAAAGAAAACTTTTCATGAGGACTGCAGAAAACATAATAATGCCTTTGAAAACTTTGAGTAAAATTTCAGGATATAGTCAGCCTTTTTAATGAGAATGTTTTGATAAATTAGTTGGTTTTACTGTGCTTTTTATATTACTCAACTAAGATGACACTAAATAAGTCATCTCTTGAGTTAGTATTTTTCACCTTTTAGACACTGATATGGGTAAAATGTTAAATTTGCTATGCATTTACCTAAGAAAATTATCCAGTAAGTCCCAGCCCTCAGGGTGTTTTGTCCCAGGTGCTGCCAGCTGGATTAAGTATTTGTCTCTAAATAAGTATAAATACGTATTGTCCTTGTTAGTGTGTCTGACATTTTTTTCACCTTCTATCTGCGTGACTTTTACAGTTGCTCTGTGTACCCTTGTTCCTGGGAAATTTTTACAGGTATTTGATCATTTTCCCTGATTTCCTTCCTGCCCCTCTTCCTGGTCAATACTCCAGTTCTTTCTCCATACTTTCAGTTGCTGCATTTGCTGGGAATTTGCTTGCTTCGTTTCTGATTCAGATTCACTCTGAAGTCACACTTAGTAGATTGAAACCCCATGTACTTAGAACCCCATGTTTTTTGGGGTGTTTACACATGGTGGGAGTTTGATAAACAGTTGTAGATTTGATTTCCTGACACTTCAGGTCCTTGACTCTTACCAGTTTTCTACAGCTGCTTCCAGGATTTGACAGGTTATATTTATGTAATTAGTAATAAAAACACAGAAAAAGACAGGGAGATTTTACCTGGTGCTTCACTGATACCAGATTCAGTTTATTTATTGATAGTTATGCAGTGGGACCATCCCTGTCCCTGATTTGGAGGTTGTGAGTATGTTGTACATACAGCAACTAGTAATATTTTAACTAGAGAATGAAAAACTCAGCCCATCAACTGGATGTTTTGTCTCAGAAGCAAAAAATCTATTATTATAATCTGCATTGTTAACCATGTGAAAATATTAAACTGGTAGATATTTTATCTGGCATGGTTATTCTCCAGTGACATAAAATATTAAAGAACCTTAGTGGAAGGAGTTACATACAGGAAATAGGAATAATAATTTAAGACAAACAGTAAATATATACATTAAAATATCCATTATCTAAAATGAAATAACTGTATAGTTACCTTTTTCTATTAACAATATTTTTAAAGTAATGAAAAACCCATATATACTTAGGTAGAATTCTATTTATAAAAATTAATAACTTCAAATAACTTTTGTTCTGTCATAAATAGAAGTGAAAAAAATTATACATAGTTACTCTAGGCAAAGCTGATGTTTAAAAAACAAACTCTTTGGGAAGAATTCACTCTTGAGTGTGCATTCTTACATTGCTAATGGAAACTTGGCTGCCATAAATGAAAGGACACAGAAATATATGCATAAAATATAGTTTTTCTTCACAAGTTTTATTTTAACTTTAATAGAGTCTTGAAATGCTATTAATGTCTAACCAGGTTTAGAATGTCAACAACAAAGGGATGTTCTCTTGTTGCAGCATTTCTGTGTTTTTAATTTCAAGGCCTCTGTTATGGCGTTCACATACTGATTAAAGACATTAGTTTTTTTCATTTTTCTGCTAATCTTTTAAGCCACAACTTGAATGATCAGACAGAGACAGTAAATATAAATATGTAACATGCAGAATTTTATGTAATCACTTGTATTTATCTAGCACTTTGTTTCCAACTCACTTTCATGTTGTTTAGTCATTCCTCCAGCATCCCTGTGTGTGTAAGCTTACGAGCTTTGTTTCTTGTAGAGGAGGCAGGGACTAGCATTGAGATGAGAAACTGGGGCACTGGGCATGTGGACTTTCTTCTTTTCTCCTTGATCCTGAAATATGATAAAAGACAAATCCATTTTGCTTACTTGAAAGAATCACCTAATCCTTATGCTGGATTTAGGATATGTTGGCTGGAGGAAGGGGGTAGAAATATGTGATAATTAGGTTAGTGGGGTTATTTATTAAAGGCTGAGTTATTTCGGGGAGAAGTATAACACTTTAACATATCCTTAGCACTTATTATGTGTTAGGTGACAAACATGTCATCCCGTAGTCATCTCTGATACATCAGGTCTGTGCACTGGTTCATAATAGGAAGTCATTAAATGTTAAGGTTTACCAGATTCTCAGTTTAAAATCTAAATTAATGTTAAAATACCACACCCTGGACTTTGTAGAATGGCTAAAGAAGCTTTTCTTCATAGGCTGGAGGGCAAGAGACTATGTTCCTGCACCTTTCCAGTTACTTTGGTGCAGCCACTATGCGTGTTCCTGGGGTTTCTCACAGCCATTCTCTGTTCTTTCTGTAGGGAAAAAACCGGACTCCTGGGTTCTTTACATTCTTCAGCATTTAGAAGGTACTTTAACATTTAACTGCTATTTTTAAAGTTTAGAATTAAATAATATGATTATTCTATTGTGTGCAGAGTTGATGTTGTTTTTTATGTCTTTGCTTAAACTCTGAAAGTAGAATGGCAGGTGGTAGTTTTAACCAGTCAACTCTTCTATGATTATGTCTTAATTTCAAACGTTAATAGAAGTGATATTTTCTAGAAATTTCATTTTTGAAAATTTCAAAATTGGTGCATTTTCACTTACTTAAAGTCAATATTTTTAGAGTAAAAGGATTTATTTAAACATAGCTTTCAGTAGCTTGTCTTTAATATTGCCGTGTTTCTGTAGCCAAGTTAAAAGAGGTCTTGAGAGAGGGACCTTCAAGATGGCGGAGGAGTAAGACATGGAGATCAGCTTCCTCCCCACAAATACAACAAAAATACATCTGCATGTGGAACAACTCCTACAGAACACCTACTGAACACTGGCAGAAGACCTCAGACCTCCCAAAAGGCAAGAAAATGCCCACGTACCTGGGTAGGGCAAAAGAAAAAAGAAAAAACAGACACAAAAGAATAGGGACGGGACCTGCACCAGTGGGAGGGAGCTGTGAAGGAGGAAAAGTTTCCACACGCTGGCGGAGACAGGGAGTGGCAGGGGGAAGCTTTGGAGCCACGGAGAGGAGTGCAGCAACAGGGGTGCTGAGGACAAAGCAGAGAGATTCCCACACAGAGGATCAGGGCCGACCAGCACTCACCAGACTGAGAGGCTTATCTGCTCACTAGCCGGGGCAGGTGGTGGCTGGGAGCTGAGGCTCGGGCTCCGGAGGTCAAATCCCAGGGAGAGGACTGGGGTTGGTTGCGTGAACACAGCCTGAAGGGGGCTAGTGTGCCACATTAGCCGGGAGGGAGTCTGGGAAAAACTCTGGACCTGCTGAAGAGGCAAGAGACCATTGTTTCCTGGTGCGCAAGAAGAGGGGATTCAGAGCACTGCCTAAAAGAGCTCCAGAGATTGGTGTGAGCCACAGCTATCAGTGTGGACCCCAGAGACAGGCATGAGATGCTAAGGCTGCTGCTGCAGCCACCAAGAAGCCTGTGTGAAAGCACAGATCACTATCCACACCTCCCCTCCTGGGAGCCTGTGCAGCCTACCACTGCCAGGGTCCTGTGAACCAGGGACAACTTCCCCAGGAGAACACATGGTGCACCTCAGGCTGTTGCAACATCATGCTGGCTTCTGCTGCCACAGGCTCACTCCACATTCCAATTATAACCACCATAACCCTCCCTCCCCCTCGCCTAAGTGAGCCAGAGCCCCCTAATCAGCCACTGCTTTAACCCCATCCTGTCTGGGTGGGAACAGAGGCCTGGGGGTGACCTACACACAGAGGCGGGGCCAAAACCAAAGCTGAACCCCAGGAGCTCTGTGAACAAAGAAGAGAAAGGGAAAAATTTCTACGTGCAGCCTCAGGAGCAGTGGATTAAATCCCCACAGTCAACTTGATGTACCCTGCATCTGTGGAATACCTGAACAGACAACGAATCAACCCAAAATTGAAGTGATAGAATTTAGGAGGAACTGTAGACTTGGGGTTTGCTCTCTGTGACTGACTTGTTTCTGATTTTTATGTTTATCTTAGTGTAGTTTTTAGCGCTTCTTATCATTGGTGGATTTGTTTATTGGTTTGGTTGCTCTCTTCTTTTTATTACTTTTTTATTTTAATAATTTTTTTAATTTTTAAAATTTAAGTATCTTATTTATTTTTAATTTATTTTTTCTTTCTTTTTTTTCTCCCTTTTCTTCAGAGCCGTGGGGCTGACAGGGTCTTGGTGCTCCAGCCTGGTGTCAGGCCTGAGCCTCTGAGGTGGGAGAGCCGAGTTCAGGACATTGGATCACCAGAGACCTCCTGGCCCCACATAATATCAAACAGCGAGAGCTCTCGACGAGATCTCTTCTCAACGCTAAGAGCCAGCTCCACCCAATGGCCAGCAAGCTCCAGTGCTGGATGCCCCATGCCAAACAAATAGCAAGATAGGAACACAACCCCACCCATTAGCAGAGAGGCTGCCTAAAATCATATTAAGTTCACAGACACCCCAAAACACACCACCAGACGCAGCCCTGCCCACCAAAAAGACAAGATCCATGCCCACTGACCAGAACACAGGCACCAATCCTCTCCACCAGGAAGCCTACACAAGACACTGAACCAACCTTACCCACTGGGGGCAGACACCAAAAACAATGAAAACTACAAATCCTCAGCCTGCAAAAAGGAGATCCCAAACACAGAAAGTTAAGCAACATGGGAAGACAGAGAAATATGCAGCAGATGAAGGAGCAAGGTAAAAACCCACCAGACCTAACAAATGAAAGGGAAGAGGCAGTCTACCTGAAAAAGAATTCAGAGTAATGGTAGGAAAGATGGTCCAAAATCTTGGAAACAGAATGGAGAAAATACAAGAAACATTTAACAAGGACCTAGAGGTACTAAAGAGCAAACAAACAATGATGAACAACACAAAAAATGAAATTAAAAATTCTCTAGAAGGAATCAATAGCAGAATGACTGAGGCAGAAGAACGGAAAAGTGACCTGGAAGATAAAATAGTGTAAATAACTACTGCAGAGCAGAATAAAGAAAAAAGAATTAAAAGAATTGAGGACAGTCTCAGAGACCTCTGGGACAACATTAAACACACCAACATTTGAATTATAGGGGTCCCAGAAGAAGAAGAGAAAAAGAAAGGGTCTGAGAAAATATTTGAAGAGATTACAGTTGAAAACTTCCCGAATACAGGAAAGGAAATAGTCAATTAAGTCCAGGAAGCGCAAAGAGTCCCATACAGGATAAATCCAAGGAGAAACATGCCAAGACACATATTAATCAAAGTATCAAAAATTAAATACAAAGAAAAAATATTAAAAGCAGCAAGGGAAAAACAACAAATAACATACAAGGGAATCCCCATAAGGTTAACAGCTGATCGTTCATCAGAAATTCTGAAAGCCAGAGGGTGTGGCAGGACATATTTAAAGTGATGAAGGAGAAAAACCTTCAACCAAGATTACTCTACCCAGCAAGGATCTCTTTCAGAATCGACAGAGAAATTAAAACCTTTACAGACAAGCAAAAGCTAAGCAAATTCAGCACCACCAAACCAGCTCTACAACAAATGCTAAAGGAACTTCTCTAGGCAGGAAACACAAGAGAAGGAAAAGACCTACAATAACAAACCCAAAACAATTAAGAAAATGGTAATAGGAACATACATAGTGATAATTACCTTAAATGTAAATGGATTAAATGCTCCAACCAAAAGACATAGACTGGCTGAATGAATCAAAAAACAAGACCCGTATATATGCTGTCTACAAGAGACCCACTTCAGACCTAGGGACAAATACAGACTGAAAGTGAGGTGATGGAAAAAGATATTCCATGCAAATGGAAATCAAAAGAAAGCTGGAATAGCAATTCTCGTATCAGAGAGAATAGACTTTAAAATAAAGACTATTACAAGAGACAAAGAAGGACACTACATAAAGTCAAGGGATCAATGCAAGAAAAAGATATAACAATTGTAAATATTTATGCACCCAACATAGGAGCACCTCAGTACATAAAGCAAATGCTACCAGCCATAAAAGGGGAAATTGACAATAACACAACAATAGTAGGGGATTTTAACACCCCACTTTCACCAATGGGCAGATCATCCAAAATGAAAATAAATAAGGAAACACAGCTTTAAATGACACATTAACAAGACAGACTTAATTGATATTTATAGGCCATTCCATCCAAAAACAACAGAATAATACACTTTCTTCTCAAGGGCTCATGGAACATTCTCCAAGTAGATCATATCTTAGGTCACAAATCAAGCCTCGGTAAATTTAAGAGAACTGAAATCATATCAAGTATCTTTTCTGACCACAACGGTATGAGACGAGTTATCAGTTACTGGAAAAAAACTGTAAAAACTACAAACATATGGAGGCTAAACATTATACTACTAAATAACCAAGAGATCACTGAAGATTTCAAAGAGGAAATGAAAAAAACCTAGAAACAAATGACAGTGAAAACACGACGACCCAAACCTATGGGATGCAGCAAAAGCAGTTCTAAGAGGGAAGTTTATAGCAATATAATTGTACCTCAAGAAACAAGAAAAATCTCAAATAAACAACTTAATCTTACACCTATGCAATTACAGAAAGAAGAACAAAATAACCCCAAAGTTAGCAGAAGGAAAGACATCATAAAGATCAGATTAGATATAAATGAAAAAGAAATGAAAGAAATGATACCAAAGATCAATAAAACTAAAAGATGGTTCTTTGAGAAGATAAACAAAATTGATAAACCACTAGCCAGACTCATCAAGAAAAAAATGGAGAAGACTGAAATCAATAGAATTAGAAATGAAAAAGGAGAAGTAATAACTGACACTGCAGAAATACAAAGAATCATGAGGGATTACTACAAGCAACTATATACCAATAAAATGGACAACCTGGAAGAAATGGACATATTAGAAAAGCACAACCTTCTGCGACTGAACCAGAAAGAAACAGAAAAATATAAACAGACCAATCACAAGCACTGAAATTGAAACTGTGATTAAAAATCTTCCAACAAACAAAGGCCCAGGACCAGATGGCTTCAGAGGTGAATTCTATCAAACATTTAGAGAAGAGTTAACACCTATCCTTTGCCAACTCTTCCAAAATATAGCAGAGGGAGGAACACTTCCAAATTCATTCTACGAGGCCACCATCATCCTGATACCAAAACCAGACAAAGATGTCACAAAGAAAGAAAACTAAAAGTCAATATCATTGATGAACTTAGATGAAAAGTCGTCAACAAAATACTAGCAAACAGAATCCAACAGCACATTAAAAGGATCAAACAGCATGACCAAGTGGGGTTTATCCCAGGAATTTAAGGATTCTTCAATATATGCAAATCAATAAATGTGATAAACCATATCAACAAACTGAAGGAGAAAAACCATATGATCGTCTCAATAGATGCAGAAAAAGCTTTCGACAAAATTCAACAGCCATTTATGACAAAAGCCCTCCAGAAAGCAGGCATAGAGGGAACTTACCTCAACATAATAAAGGCCATATGTGAAAAACCCACAGCCAGCATTGTTTTCAGTGTTGAAAAACTGAAACCATTTCCTCCAAAATCAGGAACAAGACAAGGATGCCCACTCTCCCCAATATTATTCAACATAGTTTTGGAAGTTTTAGCCACAGCAATCAGAGAATAAAAAGAAATAAAAGGAATCCAAATCAGAAAAGAAGTAAAGCAGTCACTGTTTGCAGATGACATGATACTATACGTAGAGAATCCTAAAGATGCTACCAGAAAACTACTAGAGCTAATCAATGAATTTGGTAAAGTAGCAGGATACAAAAGTAATGCACAGAAATCTCTTGTATTCCCATACACTAATGATGAAAAATCTGAAAGAGAAATTTAGGAAACAATCCCATTTACCATTGCAACAAAAAGAATAAAATATCTAGGAATAAACCTACCTAAGGAGTCAAAGGACCTGTATGCAGAAAACTGTAAGACACTGATGAAAGAAGTTAAAGATGATACAACCAGATGGAGAGATATACCATGTTCCTGGATTGGAAGAATCAACATTGTGAAAATGATTATACTACTCAAAGCAATCTATTGCTTCAGTGCAATCCCTTTCAAACTACCAATGGCATTTTTCACAGAACTAGAACAAAAAATTTCACAATTTGTAT